GGTGTCTCTCATTACCGGCTGCAGCCCTGCTTGTTTTTCACCTTAGGGGAAGGTGTTCACCAGTAGGGAGAGCACCGATTCGTGTGTCCGCAAGGGGGTGACCCTGCCCTTCTGTTTCACCCTTCAGGCAGCCGTGGGTTTCCCCGTGCCAGATCGCTTGCTTCTCATGACGCTCTACCCTTACTCCCGTCGCCTCTGGAACTTTTCTTGCAGACATTGATGGTGTCAAACAAAATCTCTCAATCTCTAGCCAGTGCAGACCTTTTCACTGTTTTCCTCTCGTCCACACAGCCACCACCCCGTGTTTCTCTGTCACCTATTGCTTCTGAGAGCCAGTTTGGTGTCGTGGTTAAGTGCGCAGACTCTAATCTGGGAGAACCGGGTTTGATTCCCCACTCCTCCACTTGCACCTGGCTGGATGACCTTGGGCAAGCCGTAATTCTGATAAGAGCTGTCCTTGAGAAAGAGCAGTTTCTGTCAGAGCTCTCTCAGCCCCACCCACCTCACTGAGCGTCTGTTGTGGGGAGGGGGAGGGAATGGAGTTTGTAAGCCGCTCTGAGACACCTTTGGGTTGTGAAGGGCGGGGTATAAATCCAGTCTCTTCTCTTCTTCTTTTTCAAGTTTCTGTTTAGAAGAATATCTGTTGTCTATTCATATCCGTTTAGCTGGTATAGCACCATCCTTAATACAAGAAAGCCAGTGTGGTGTGGTTTCTGGAATATCAGACTAGGGCTTGGGGGTACTTGGGTTTTAAAATCGACGCCTATGCAGGCTCATATCTGGCAGGCGCTTCACCAACTGCATTGGCTGCCAGTTGACTTCCGGATTCACTTCAAGGTGCTGGTGGATCACCTTTAAAGCCTTATACGGCCTGGGACCCACATATCTGAGGGACCGCCTCTTCCCATCTATGCCCCAAAGAGCGTTACGCTCTATAGATCAACATCTCCTGGTTGCCTCCGGCCCAAAGGATGTCTGTCTTGCCTCGACCAGGGCCAGGGCTTTTTCTGCCCTGGCCCCTGCCTGGTGGGACACGCTCCCAGTCGAGATTAGGGCCCTGCAGGATCTTCTTCAGTTCCGCAGGGCCTGTAAGACGGAGCTCTTCCGCTAGGCTTTCGGTTGAGGCCGCCAGGCCTTCAGGCCTCATCCTCATCATCATCAAGTAGACTCCACAGCTTAGAGGGAGCATTACTTACCAGGGCCGACCCTACTTCGCTTCCAAGACCCGACGAGATCGGGCTAGCCGGGGCCTTCCAGGTTAGGGGCTGCAGTGGGGTACCAATGGGACTGAAGACCAGGGCTTTTCTTCCCTGGGGGAACGCGGCGGAACGGAGCTCCGGAACCTCTTCGACAAAATTATTTTCAAAATATCTAAAAGTTCATGAGTTTTCAGTATACAGATTGAGATCTTTATTTCTCTCTCTCTCTCTCTCTCTCTCTCTCTCTCTCTCTCTCTCGCGAGAGAGAGAGAGAGAGAGAGAGAGAGAGAGAGAGAGAGAGAGTGTTTTAGCACCTCTTTTTCCAAAAAAAAAAAAAGCCCTGCTGAAGACAATCTAGTAATTCTTGCAAATAGTACCCTGGATTTTGAAATGTGCATTGGTTTTGTTTCCTATTCCGGTAGATGCACATGCTTTTTATTGTAAAGGTAAAGGCAAAGGTTTCCCTTGCTCGAAAGCCAGTCGCATCCGACTAGTGCTCGTCTCCGTTTCCAAGCCGAGGAGCCAGCGCTGTCCAAAGACGTTTCCGTGGTCATGTGGCCGGCATGGCTAGACGCCAAGGCGCACGGAACGCTGTTCCCTTCCCACCGAAGTGGTACCTATTTATCTACTTGCGATTTCTTGCTTTCAAACCGCTCGGTTGGCTGGAACTGGGGGCAGAGACGCTCGGTCACGCAGCACTCAGGTCTCGAACTGCCGAACTGCAGACCTTCCGGTCTGTAGCTCAGCATCTTAACCTCTGAGCCACCGCGGCCCCTTCTTTTTATTGTAAAGGTAAATGTTCCCTTGCTCGAAAGCCAGTCGAATCCGACTCTAGGGTTGCGGTGCTCATCTCCGTTTCAAAGCCAAAGAGCCAGCGCTGTCCGAAGACGTTTCCGTGGTCATGTGGCCGGCATGGCTAGACGCCAAGGCGCACGGAACGCTGTTCCCTTCCCACCGAAGTGGTACCTATTTATCTACTTGCAATTTCTTGCTTTCGAACTGCTAGGTTGGCAGGAGCCGGAACTAGAGACGGGAGCTCCCTCCATCATGCCGCACACTCGGGTCTCGAACTGCTGAATGGCAGACCTTCCACAGGCTGCAGTTCAGCGTCTTAACCACTTGAGCCACCGCAGCTCCTCTTTTTATTGTACCTGTGCATATCACAGCACACAGTGTTCTGAGTGGCAAGGGAAAGCACATTTCTGAAGTTATGCCTGCCTCCCAACCCCTCTGCGGGATCCCCACCCACCGAGCTCCACCAAGTGGCCGCCACCTTGTTCCAAGGGGCTGGGTTTTCACCCCACGTACAACAAGCTCCCCAGTTGTCAGCCATGGGAGGAATTTGCTTAAGACTGAGCTGGGAGTGTCTGCCTGTCAGGAAAGCGCATGCAGCCAAGTTGTTTGCCACTCATTCTTCCTGGCCACGGCTGCCGGGCGCCATTTTATTTCCAGACTCACCGCCATCTCCTTTGCCGTGGCTGAGGCTGAGCCAGATGAGGAGACTTTTCCGCCGGGGTGAGATGGTTTTTCCACAGCAGGGAGTGCTCTGCCGTAAAGTAGATTCATGGGAGAAACTGACTGACTTTGTTTAATGGCTGGTTTTACTGGCCCGGAGCGCGTGCTCTCCTTTTTTTTTTTTGGTCTCTGGGATCTTGATTTGTTTCTCCCTCCAATCCTTCCTTGACCCTCCTTTGCCAGTTTTGTTTGTGGTTGGCTTATTTAAAAGGCCAGGCAGGTAATTGTAGGTTTTATTGTGAATAAGGACACTTGTTCCTTTCCTCCAGGGAGCGGCAAGAGTTTTACGAACACTTAAGCGAATGTAACCTTGTGGCATTCTGTGAAATCAGTAAGAGTAATTACTCCGAGAAACTAGGGTACCCAAAAAGACGGAAATCACCAAGATGGGAGAGAGAAGACAGATTTCAGCCCTGACAAATGCCTCCCAAGTTTGGCGACCAGAAAAAAAATCATGCAAAAGAGAACTATTCATTGTGCCAGTTTTTACTTTTCCTGATCCAGTTGTCCATTTCGGGGGGTGTTGTTTTTATCAGGGACCAAATGAGGAGAAGAGGAATGGGGGGATCATTGCTTTGGGGCAGGGATGCAAGGAATGTGGACGAGAGAGAGGGTACCCAGCATCGCGGTCTGGGAGAAACATGCACTTTGTTCTTGCTGGGATGATGTAGATTGGGAGATGGAAACAGAGGAAAGGTGACTCTGGGGCAACACTCCCACATGCATAAGAATTTAGACTGGACCTAGAGAAGAAGGAGAAGAAGAGATTGCATGTATACCCCGCCCTTCACTACCCAAAGGTGTCTCAGAGCGGCTTACAAACTCCTTTCCCTTCCCCTCCCCACAACAGGCACCCTGTGAGGTGGGTGGGGCTGAGAGAGATCTTGACAGAAACCACTCTTTTCCACGGACAGCTCTTGTCAGAACTACGGCTTGCCCAAGGTCATCCAGCCAGGTGCAAGCGGAGGAGTGGGGAATCAAACCCGGTTCTCCCAGATTACAGTCCACGCACTTAACCACTACATCAAACTGGCTCTCTTTGTACCATCCGGAGTGATTAACGATATAATGTCACGTGGGCTTATTAAAAAGAACTGTGATGTCAGTGGGGCATGAAAGGGACTCACCTGACCAAACAGTAGCCCTTAAAAGTGCACCAGTGAACACGGGATGAATGGAATGGCGGAGTGTTTCTAGCGTCAGGTGCAGAGTTGGGCATGTTGTTTTCATTCTAGCACAGAGCTGTAATCAAGTTTGTGTCCTCCGCTATGAACGTACAGGTTGAGAACATGTCACAGAATCGTAGAATCCTAGAGTTGGAAGGGACCTCCAGGGTCATCTAGTCCAACCCCCTGCACAATGCAGGAAATTCGCAAATACCTCCCCCACCACACGCCCCCAGTGACCCCAGCTCTTTGCCCAGAAGATGGCAAAAAACCTCCAGGATCCTCAGTCATCCTGGCCTGGAGAAAAATGGCTTCCTGACATCAGCATTTCTCTGGGCATGTAAGAAAGGGCCACGGGAACTAAGCAACCCTCCCTGCCCTCCCTCTCAGGATCTGCCTACGTTCACAGAATCCTCATCGCTGTCAGATGGCCATCTAGCCTCTGTTTGAAAGCCTCCAAAGAAGGAGAGCCCACCACCTTCTGCCAAGGAAAGGAGATTGTAAACCGCTCTGAGACTTCGAGTTAAAGGTGGGGCATAAAACTAATCTCCTCTTCTCCTTCTTTTCCTCCTTCTCCTCCTCCTCCTCCGACAATTTTGTATGTTCCTAAGGTGTTTGAACATATGGAGCAGAGGTCCATCAGTGGCTATTAGCCACAAGGTATAGATAGGAACTCTCAGTCTGGGGCAAATGATGCTCTGTATTCTTGGTGTTGGGGGGGCAACAATGGGAGTGCTCCTAGTGTCCTGGCCCCACTGCTGGACCTCCTGATGGCACCTGGTATATTTGGCCACTGTGTGACTCAGAGTGTTGGACTGGAGGGGCCATTGGCCTGATCCAACATTGGCTTCTCTTATGTTCTTATAGGAACTCTCAGTCTGGGGCAAGGGATGCTCTGTCTTCTTGGTGCTTGAGGAGGGGCAACAGTGGGAGGGCTTCTAATGTCCTCCTGACCCCACTGCTGGACCTCCTGATGGCACCTGGTATTTCTGGCCGCTGTGTTACTCAGAGTGTTGGACTGGATGGGCCATTGGCCTGATCCAACACTGGCTTCTCTTGTGTTCTTATGTTCTCAACCTCTTGGCTGAGGTTTCTTTTGTTTCTCTTTTGCTTCTCTTAGGGCCACCTCTTCATCGTCCAATATAATGATGGGAATACCGAGGTCGTCTCCATGTGGGTGTGCCGGATGTTGGAAGAGAGGCGTGCACAGCAGCAGCAGGGATCGCAGTGAACAGGGGAAATGCGAAAAGTCCCGGTGATGGAGACTGGCGCTAGCCGAAGTCCACAAGGACAATAATGCTTCAGCGGGAGACTTCACCCGTTAACGAGGCCTCCAAAGTCGGCTTTTGGGCACATGTGGTGGCAGCTCTTTATTCTGCGATGGTTCCTCCACAGACTCACTCAAACCGGCTTTGTTGACGGTCCGTCACGCCACAGGCTGCAACCTTAAGACAATGTTATTATTATATATTTTATTAAACTTCCTGTATATTTTCCACAGAGTATTTTATACACATTTTTTGTTGTTATTTTACTAGCTTAAACAACTTTGAGGGCAGCATGGATCAATCCCTGCCTGTTAATTTAAATTTTATTTTTGGACTGTGGACTAAAGGATGCTTTGGCTTTTCATTTTAGATGTCGACATAGAATGAAAATTGGCCGGCTGTACAAAATATGACAGCAGCGATCTTGAAAGAATAAATACTGTCACAAGTACACAGTCAACAGGGACGTGTGCTACGTGTTTCTTCAGTGCATGTCGTTAATCCAAGCAGGATAGGAAGCCAGTCCCAAAACAGTCAGTAATCTTGATCTGTAACCACCTTGCCATTCCCTTGATGTGGACATCTAGCCCGGACCGTTTCCAGCAAAATGTCCCAAGTCTGTTTGTTCAGCTTTTTTGAACACAGGAAGCTGCCTTCTACCGAATCAGGCCATCGGTCCATCAAGGTCAGTATTGCCTACTCAGACAGGCAGCAGCTCTCCAGGGTCTCAGGCGGAGGTCCTTCACATCATCTAGTGCCTGGTCCTTTTCAATGGACGTGCCAGAGATTGAACCTGGGACCTTCTGCATGCCAAGCAAAGGCTCCACCAGTGAGCCACGGCCCCTCTTTACAGCTCTCCAGGGTCTCAGGCGGAGGTCTTTCCCATCACCTCCTGCCTGGTCCTTTTTAACTGGAGTTGCTGGGGATTGAACCTGGGACCCTTTGCATGCCAAGCAGAGGCTCTGCCACTGAGCCACAGCCCCTCTTTACAGCTCTCCAGGGTCTCAGGCGGAGGTCTTTCCCATCACCTCCTGCCTGGTCCTTTTTAACTGGAGTTGCTGGGGATTGAACCTGGGACCCTTTGCATGCCAAGCAGAGGCTCTGCCACTGAGCCACAGCCCCTCTTTACAGCTCTCCAGGGTCTCAGGCGGAGGTCTTTCCCATCACCTCCTGCCTGGTCCTTTTTAACTGGAGTTGCTGGGGATTGAACCTGGGACCCTTTGCATGCCAAGCAGAGGCTCTGCCACTGAGCCACAGCCCCTCTTTACAGCTCTCCAGGGTCTCAGGCGGAGGTCTTTCCCATCACCTCCTGCCTGGTCCTTTTTAACTGGAGTTGCTGGGGATTGAACCTGGGACCCTTTGCATGCCAAGCAGAGGCTCTGCCACTGAGCCACAGCCCCTCTTTACAGCTCTCCAGGGTCTCAGGCGGAGGTCTTTCCCATCACCTCCTGCCTGGTCCTTTTTAACTGGAGTTGCTGGGGATTGAACCTGGGACCCTTTGCATGCCAAGCAGAGGCTCTGCCACTGAGCCACAGCCCCTCTTTACAGCTCTCCAGGGTCTCAGGCGGAGGTCTTTCCCATCACCTCCTGCCTGGTCCTTTTACCTGGAGATGCCGGGGATTGAATCTGGGACCTTCTGCATGCCACGCAGATGCTCTGCCACTGAACCACAGCCCCTCCCTAATGTGCACACATGGGGTATATCTGCACATCCCACCCTTCTCGCCCATGCTGCAAAGGATGGAACTCTCAACTTTGCACAGACGTACCTTCTGTGTGGGAGGCCACGACCCCCAGCGCTGAAGGTCTCCCTCCCTCCCTATGCCCCTGGGCTCCAACTATAGTAATCAGGCAGCCGTCTCTTGCCTGTCGCACTTCTGTGTCATAAACCAGAGCCCCAGGGGCCTTTTTCATCATGGCTCTGGTTCTGTGGAATGGGCTCCCCAAAGAGGTGAACCAGACCCTCCTTCTTCTTCTCCTCCTTCTCCTCCTCCTTCTTCTCCTCCTCCTCCTCCTCTTCTTCTCCTTCTCCTCCTCCTCCTCCTTCTCCTTCTCCTCCTCCTCTTCTCCTCCTCCTCCTCCTCCTCCTGCTGCATGGGCATGTGGGTGGGCAGGGGGAGCGGTGCTATGCAAGACCCATCAGGATTGTCCCCCAAGGAGCTAGCAGACACCGGGGAGTCCATTGGTGGGCACCACAGCATCCTCGTTTGGGGATCAGCGCTAGCCTACAGCAGAGGCCGCATCCAAATGGAAGCTCTCCCTCACACCCCATCCTAAACCATGCTTATTGCTTCCATGGCCCCCACACTAAAGTCTTTAGCATTCATGGCTATTTGGGAAATGAGTTATAAACACCCTTAGTTACGGGTCTTTCTGCCTAATCTGGTTTTCCTGTTGTTTTGTATCTAGGTTTCTGTTTTTATTTTTCATTAGAACGGGAGTCCCTGACGTGGTCCCCGTAGGTGCCGTGGGGCCTGACCCCTTTCCCCGGTGCCCGCCAAGGGCTTTTAGCGAGTGGGTGGGGCTGGGAGGGGCTTTTTGCCCAGCAGGCCTTCTGATTGGCTGTGCACATTAAAAGGTATCCTGTTAAACTGTGTACAAACCTGAGCTTGGTTTGTCTTGGGGGTCCTGCTGGACAGCTTCATTCTCACATCTCTTTGTTAACTCTTGCGTTGACATGCTAATTCGCTGCCATCCCTTGACCTTACCAGCCACCTGATCCAATTTTCAGCTCTACAGATGCATCTGGGCTCTGAGCAGCCCCTCTGAACGGCTGCCCCCACACACACCCTTTTCTCCTGCAAGTAACCCTTGCCCTTGAGGAGATCTTATTCCATTTGTCTGAAAATGTGTGCTTTGCACACGAAAGCTTACACTTCAAATTTGGTTGGTCTTAAAGGTGCCCCGGGACTCGGACTTTGTTCTGCTGCCTCAGACCAACACGGTGACCAGGGGTCATTTCCTGCAGGAGCGCACAGGAGCGGAGCTCCGGCAGTAAAGAGCCCAGGGGGCGGGCACATGCAACAAGCCTCGCCCCCTGCTCCCAGCAGCCCTCAGTCAGAGCAAAAAGCAGCCAGGTAAGTTGCAGAGCCCCACCCAGCCACCCAGCCCAAAACAGTCCAGTGGCACCTTTAAGACCAAGTTTTATTCAGGTAGAAGCTCTCCCTCCTCTGCGAGGACAGATCTGCACGTTGCCCCCCCCCCCCAATAGCTAGCCATCCAAAACAGTCCAGTGGAGCCTGAGCGGTGGGTGTTGCCTTCTGACACACTTCCGGTGAGGTCAGGAGGTGTGGCAGTATGCAAATGAGTTATGCTATGAGCTATGCTAATGAGCTCCTGCACCTCTTTTTCTACGAAATGACCCCTGACGGTGACCCACCTGAATGTGACTATAAGGCTTATGCATCATCTCGTTCCCTGACATTTTGTGGTTGGCGCCTCCTCCTGCGGCAGCCATTTTGTCACTGCACCCACCACCCTGTCTCAGAATTCCCAAGGCTCAAAAGGGTTGGAGACCCCTGTGTTAGACTACAGTATTTACAAGGTCTCCGTTCCTTGATTACTCAGTGTAGGCAGGTTCTTCGGAAGACTGCCAGTTTCGGTGTGTGTGTGTGGTGCGTATTATCACTAAAAACCTGAAGAAGGTCATAAAATACGGGGGGGGGGGGGTTTTCACAAGCCCCATGTCGTGAGAAATCTCTGCCAAACGATTACAAATCCTAAGTGTTACTTCAGAGGTAGCCTGGAAAATACTTTCCTTCCTACCTTGGAGGGATCATCAATCTTCTGGTGAAGGATAGAGATTGCAGGCATGAACTTATAGGCTAAAGTTTGTCTTAATTGCTCCGATGTCACAACCTCTCTGGCAGATAACGGGACAATGAATGACTCAATGTGATCACTAGCTGGAGGTGCTTTTTCTAAAAGTGAGACAAATTTCTTCTCCTTTCAGCCGGCTGGGCCCCGACACAGCTTTTCCATTTATTTATCCTCCTCCCGCTTTGCATAAACTTTTCCCTGCGTCGAACATCTTTAAAAATTAGTTTAGAAGCCCCGTCAGAAGAATCTGCTCTCTCTTTTTCTTCTGTCATTTAAGGCTACTAGCCGAAAGGATTGTACGATTTTGATCCTCCTTGGAGGGGGATTCCATTTATCAGCCCTAGAGCAGGACTGACCAAGATGGCTAATTGGCGGTCTACGCATGTTTTAAGTGATGAAGAGCCAAACAGTTCTCTGCGAGAGGCAATTAGCAACTTCAGAGTAAAAAAGAGTGGGGCGGTTAAAAAAAACGACCTGTTGGATTTGACAGTAATTAATTAGCCATTTAGTCATTCACTAAGTCTGCATTAACCCTTTGGAAACTGTGCAAAAATTGATGTGCCCCCATGCAAAGAAATTCATATGAGTCGGGCACACACTTGAAGCAGTTGCTGAGTACCACGGAGATCTGTCCCACCCCTCCACCCCCATATATCACATGGAAGTTTGGGTCTGTGGACTGACCCTCCACTGTTTTGTCTCCCTGATCACATAGTTCAGTGTCAACAGCGGGATGTTTAGCAGAGGTAACTGGGCATGCAATGGACATAAATCCCAGTTTTTCTCCTCCAAAAACACTTTGGTCATCTTTGCCAAGCAGTCTCCCATCTGGACAGTCTCTCACGAGACCCGCTTAGCTTCAGCAGTAGAACTGCTTAAAATGTTGTGGGAGCACCCTCTGGGCCCTGCATTGTCCAAGCAAAGAGGAACTGATGCCGTCCGCGCCAACTGCCTGCAGTAACCAGAGAAAACTAATCTCTCTGCTTCTCTAGATCCGCTGTACACACGACACTCACCTGAACAGCCCCTTTGATGTGCCTTCTCCCATCTTAAGTGAAACGTGTCGCTTAAGAACGTGTGGGGCCAAAGGCGCTTCGAGACTTTATGCTTTTGAGTTTACTCAAAGGGAAGGAGAACAAAGGAGAAATTAGCTTTCGGTGACCTGGAATCACCATCAAGAAAGTCTCAAAGTGCTTGGATGTCTTAAGGATAGGAAAAAGTAAGAACAGCCCCTCTAAAAGGAGACGGGGAATCGGCTCAGTGTAGAAAAGGGCTCGATTTCGCCACACCTGAGAAATGGCCCAGGCTCTCAAGTACCTCCATCATTTTCTTCCTCTTCCTTGGTTGTGGTGTAGGAGTTACCATGCAGTTCGGGAGGACCATGGCGTACCACTCTCTGTATGGCATACCACTCCCAGTTAGGGACGCCTGAACAACCCCCCAAGTTCAGCTTGTGGCCTGTTCGCTAGTTACAAAGAGAGACCTGGGGTGCGATCACACGCAGAATTAGCCACGCCATAGGCGCGAATGGCGAGCAGACTTTAAGGGCGTGATCACACGAGAACCATCTGCCCAGCGTCCCGCATCCG